TAATAACTCCGAGGGAGCAGGAGAGCGGGGGAGGGAGTTGGAGCGGGAGCAGACGCCGGAGGTGCATACGAGGCGGAATGAAGGGGTCAAGAGGGGAGGCGGAATAGAAGGCGACCAAAGATGAGGAGGCGGAGGATGAGACGAAACACTTGAAAGACATGGCAGAGAAGATGATGAAGGAGGTGGTGGAGGAGGAAGAGGAAGAGAAGGAGAATGAAAATAGATCTTCTGATTTAGAACAATAGCCTAGTGTGTCCTCTATTTACGTAACGAGTTATATATTCTTTACGTTTATATTTCTCGCTTATGGAGCTCCGGTATAGCGTGGTCATGAGAGCTGAAATAGGAGAACAAAATGCTGGAATAAAATATAAAGCGAGAGAATATAAGATAAAAAAGAGAATTTGACATGTACTGTATTCTCATAACGAATCATTTACATAACAGAAAATTTTTATTTCGCGGTTAAGGAGCCCCGGCACAGCAGCGTCCCGACAGCTAGTTGATTAGGTCGAATACTGGGAATCTTTATTTGTCAATTACGCAACACACATTACGTTCATGCGTTGCCCGCTTTGGTGTTACAGCGATCCCTGCAATTTTCTTGTGACATTAAAATCAGTACAATACTTGCTGCGACACGAAAAGGGAAGAGACTGTAAGAGGAAAAGAGAAAATAAAAAAGTAAACAGTGAAGAAGAAAAGGAGGAAAATGTGAAGGAGAATATGAGAAAAAATAGATGAAAGAGAGGTGAAAAAAAACGAAAATTTGGCAAGGATGGAAAAGAAAGAAAAGAAGACAAAAGAGAAGAGGAAGAAAGAAGGAAATGAAACATATTTTGACTCTATGCAAAACTACGAAATTCTGTATTCACTTAACGAATCATGGTCTCTTCTGCACATTATTTCTTATTCCGTGAGTCCTCGACAGCTACTACCAACAATAACACAATAATAATAATAATAATAATAATAATAATAATAATAATAATAATAATAATAATAATTTCGAACATTTGAACTTGATCATCTAATTGAATTGTTCCTCATTGGCATAAAAGTGCTTTCATATACAAATATAAATTTCACGAAATGTATGGACTTTTTGAAGGAGTTCAGCATAGAATGCAAACCACGTTTTAATTCACAACACGAACATAATTAACACGAACGCGGCAGTACGAAAAATTGTAATTTAATATAACTTATACAGTGTATAATTGGATCCTTAAGGAGATAGACGAGATAACTCGAGGGCTCTGAAATAAGATTCTTTAGACCAACAAACTGCACAATTATACTTTAGAAGACTCGCATGAGAAATTATAGATCTTCTAGATGAATAGGATACAGAAGGTAAGAAATAGGCATGTGCCCTTAATAAAACTGGAAACTCGAAAACACGACTCTCGTCCTTCAATACTTCCAGTCCTGCGGATGTAAGCCTTTAAAGAGTTGAAGAGAGCGTAAAAGAGGAATTGACCATATGGTGATGTTCATGATGAAGGCAATTATTATTACGGCCATAAAGCAATGAGGGCAGTGAATTTTAAAAGAAAATCCCCCCCAATTTTTTTTTAATGATGAGTCCAGGGTTTTTTCTCCCTCTCCCCTTGACAATTCAAGTTCATCGGTTGGTTGGCGCGTCGGGTCTAAAGTTGGTAAACTTGGTCATGTCATTGCCACAGTGACGCTGGCAGCACCGCTATCATCACTCACTTTATGCCCCGCGCTTGCCTTCCGCCCCTCCTGGTGCACATTAAGATGCACAGATCACTGAAGGCCGGCCTACGGTCGCCATCGTCGCTCTAGTGCCGTTGTGTTGCTCTTCTGCCGGAGGAAGTGGTATTTTCTTCAAACTGTTTTATTGTTCATCACAAGTCGTTCGACTCTGATAGAAGACTGGATGCACAATCTCTGTCGCGTTACTATCGTGAGTGTAATGCAAGTGCAATATTACGTACAATACACGCATGAATGAGGTACTGACTGTTTGCGTATGAGTGTTATACTGTACATGGATATAGTGTGTTTTGGGGGAATTCACTGTTTGAAATTAATACTTTCATAAAAATGTGTTGGTATACTTCTTCGGAGCATATTAAAAGACGATTGAAAGACGATCTGATGTAAAGCTCGGAATGAATAATCTAAATGTTGAACTTGCACCATTGTAAACGTTAATTTATCAAGTATTGTTTACGTGCGCCCCTCATTGGTCTGTATATTTTCATATTAAAATATACGATATGTACAAAGATAATGGCTGCACGAGCATTAAGTGCGGGTAATACCTGTCATCACGTGATATTGCGGCAGGGCGTTCAACACCACAATTATCTTAAACAGTACATTATCGCCGAGAACGCAAACATTGTTTTGTTGCAGGTAAAATCAAGGACGGAATTTTCGTTTTATTATATTACGTTTAATCGAATACAACTATGAAAATAATAAGCTTGGAAACCACTTATTCCCTTGGGCGATATTTTTGGAGAAATATTGTACAAAGTGCTCGCTTGCAAGGCTAATAAGTACTGACGAATCGCAAGTCTTTTCTTCTAACTTTGATTCAAAATGTTAAAATGTTCCAGTCATAACTGAAACTACTTCTTAACTTCAACGGCAATTAATTTTTATTGAAAATTTATCGTCAATCTTATATCCGACGTTATAACTTGGGTAATTAAAAAAACAACAAATGGCTCAACTCGCGTAACTGCACACGTACGTTGATCTTATAGACTATATTACACTGAGTAGTACCACGGTGTAAGAAATGTCTTCCACCGTGGTAGTACTGATACTATCACGGTCTTTTACGGCAAAAAATACTCTAAAAGAATTAAAGTTGTTAATTCATTTCTTACGAACGTGGACATTCAAACCCACAAATGACGCATGAACATGATTTAAAGATAATAAAGCCCGCATTAAAACAGCAAGAATAAAACTTGTGAACAAATTTCAGGATCATTAATTGCAAACATCTTTTACTTTCACGCTGTGGACACAGCACAAACAAAATTGTATCTATGAATTTGTAATTAGAAACACCTTGGAACTCACATTGGATATTGAAATAAATCGTGGTATTAACTAAATTGTGTCATTAAAAGATTATTTCTGTTAGCGTTTACAATCAAATAAAACTGATGTATTTTGAAATTCTATTGGAGGAGGTGATGATAACAATGGTGATTATTGAATCAATGATAATCAAATGAATGTCAGTATCTGTTTTCTAGGCGTTTACCTATGTAATTTCAAAATATGCAAAATATTCAAAATTTTAACCCTCCAAATCTTGTATCAAAGACTGAGAATGCATATTAAATATTTAATAAGAATTTAGACTACGGAGTAATTGTATGGAAATAGTTCCTGTTTCTTCCTTTAATGTTCAATTTTTATATTCAGAAACATTAAAACATTCAGAAATTTAATAAATGACAGGAAGGCTCAAATTTGGTGTGCAGACTGCTATTATGGATCTGTGTTTTGAACTGAAAGTATCCACTGTATGTAAATTTTTGGGCCACTGGAACTAAAAATCTTTTAAAGTCACTACATATTTAGCTTATTGAAAACAAGTATTATCTTTTCATTCCAGAAGAGTTATAACTAATTCTTTATACACAAAATGTAGGAAGCAATAGTATGCTGTACAATTATTTACATACTTCATGCTAAATTCTAGAACTAGGGATGCTTCATCACAAGCACTTAATTTTGTTTCATTCATTATATTATTATAATCTTTAATGGACTAATAAGACATAGGAATATATTTAAATCTATACTTATAACAATTTAAAAAACATTTGTTTTATTCAATTTAGATAAGAAAAGATAGTACATCAACAAAGGATAGTACATGTGTATGCTGTTTCAAGTGTATATATGATTCAAATACAAAAAATGTAAAAAATAAGCTTAAGTCACATGATCAAAGAGTTCAATAATTCAGTATACACAAAATAATATGAAGTGCCACCTTATAATAATACCTAGGGAAAAACCGCATGAATTTAACATAAGAGTCTGAGTAATTTGTTGTAAACAAGGCCTAGAGTAGTGGAGGATTAAAAAAAAATTTAATACTTCTTTATTTTGTAATGTGTTTAAATACCAAAGAACCATCTGAACAATTCTGACAATGATAGAGTTTTGAATTTTCTTATGAAATACTATGCTATTTACAGTGTATTGGTTAATGCCTCTTTTCTTACATCATAAATTACAGTAAATTATCATTTTATTTTAATAAGATATTCTCACTTTTATTCAAGAATGTAAAAAATAACCAATGAGGTCTGAATAACCACATGAATTTTTGTATCAACTTGGTGGGTTTAACAAAAAAACATTTCTGTATTGGTGGCTAATACATTTCTGTGGTTTTGTCTCATCTTCCATATTTTAACTCAATATGTATGGATATGAAAATCATCCAACATTAGTGTGAAAAATAAGGACACGGTTTGAATACTCTAACCAATCTATTACACTATACACATTTAACAAGAAGTCACAACATATTGATAAATTTGTGGACATCCAAACATTTTAAATAGTGTAAATGTTTTGTGAGTGCGAGTCGTGGAAATCATAACGTTGTAGTCCTGATAATCACTACGAGTGTTTTATTTTCAGAAGTATATTTTGAAAGAATATCTTTCACTCCCTTTCATTAACTTCAAGACATCACATACTTGTTAGAAATTTGCGTACTATTAATAAAAAAATATATGAATGATACACTGACAAAGAGAGCATACAAACTCCACTAGGTTTAATTACAGAATATAATCGTGAGAACTACTAAAATATTAATTCAGTTTCAATAAGTATCATCTTTTACATGAACAAATAAATGGTTTGTCAGTGGAAAAGTTAAGAAATAGAAACATAAATGAAATGAGGGTCAGACTGTTATTAAAAACCATTTCAACTTTTAAGTTTTAAGAATTATGCACGAATTAATTCAATTTTCTCACCAAATTCCATGGATTGTCCATGTATTTTCTGGAAGAATTTTACATGAATGGTGCTCTTGTGCTTCTTTCCATTGCATACACACAGTTATAGGCCAATGCTGGGTGAAAATTAAAATATCCCAATCAGTTGATGCATGGACACTACAAAATAAAGAAAGAAAGGTTCAGGCTTGAGAACTATAAAAACATACACAATAATCTACAAGTTAAGAGTTAAAGGTTCTCCAAAAATATGCTGTTAAACTGTCATAGACGTTTCCTGAGAAATTTCAGTAAGTTATCCTGAGTTTGCAATTCACCATTCCAATTCGATTTTGAAAAATTCAGAAGTCTCAACACAGAATGTAGCCTAAATATACATATACAATATACAGATAAATTACAATTAAATATCTTAGAATGCATTTTATCTCTGGAAATGATAAAAATATTCAACTGCTTCATAATAGAGAACAGTGCATGGGATCTCACTAAATTGCAATAATCTTATTTAAGGTTAAGAAACCTACTTTAAATTTATTGAAACAAAATTGAAACATGAATGGAAATTTATTTGCAAATATTGAATCCAACTATTATACAGTTATTTACTCTTACTTCTACATTAGACTGGAGTTGGTCACCTTCAACTCAAGGATTTTAATGCCATTGTCTGGAGAATGGTAGACAATTTTGTGACTTGGTTAACAGGTCACTATCAAAGAGTTAAACATGAAGAAATTTCTAATAGTTTGACTTAGATACTTCTTCCAGTAAATTATAACTTGGATGTAATAGTCAAACAGAATGAATGTATATAATTCAAATTTTACAAAATGATTGCACATATTCAGAGTGTAACACTTCCAAATATCTGAAAAATCTTAAACAATACGAAGTGACACTTCTTAATATATGATATATTAATTTATCTGAGAAATATTAACGCGTTGATTCATATTGTTGGTTGAATCATTTATATAAAATTACGAAACACTCTATTTCACAATTAACAACATTTTTAAGCGCTTACCTTTGATTCAAATCGAGTACAATGACGCATAAAGGAACGAAAATTAACTTAAGAAACACCCAAAACATTTCTTCAGAAAAAGTCGAGCAAATATCAGCTTCTACACAATACTTGACCTTCTTCCATCTAACACGGAACACCTATTCTTATAAGATATTATAATCTAATCGTTTAAATCCACGTAAGTGTCAACACATATTTCTTCGAAAAATTTTAATAAAATTTGTTGCGATTAGCTTCAAAGAAATGATCAGCATCCACACGTCATTCGTCAGCTGTTCTGAACCTGATCCTGTCACAACACAAACACAGGATTTATATATCTTACACCGCATTCAAGCACAAAAGAGATTCCTCCCCCACGCGTTCTAAACCATTCCCAAACAAAAAACAACACTGGCAATGCACGAACCTGTGTGACAATGACGATGTCAGAAATAACAACGACAATAATGATAATATAATGATGATGATACTAATAATAATAATAATAATAATAATAATAATAATAATAATAATAATAATAATAATAATAAAATTGGAAATGTACTATAAGGTCAGTCAAAATGATCCACTTATGAACCTGGTCATCTTACTGAAATAATGGGAATGGCTTCATTTACAATTAAGCGAAGCAAGAAGTGCTGCGAATAAAACTATTCAAGACACATTTACAGGATGATAGTGGTCAGAAAGGTAGAAACAATAGATCATATCGTCTATCAGTAAAGTTTCCAAATCTAGCAAAGTCCGAAAGCCTGAAAAGCAATACGATCTGTAGTTACCGTCACAAACATGTGTAATTTCGCGCCGCGGCGTCGAAGTTCCAATGCATGATCCAAATGCTGAGAACTCTCATCAAAATCTGTGACTTCTATTGGACTGTGCACAATACTGTACTACCAACAAATCCATAAAGATCGTACGATAGCAGCAAGCAAAACGATTATTGTTACCCTGATTTGAAAAAAAAATCAGATTTGTAATTTGCTGGGACATACAATCAGAACGTCATAAACAAGGAGGCAGAGACGCATATTATTAAATACAAGAGAGAGATCAGCCAGATGCGAGGCATAAAATCGCAGGTCGTACCGATCGTTACGGGAACTTTAGACTTTGTTCCGCACTGTTGATGAAAAACCTTATCCAAACTCAAAGTCAATGACCCCCATCTCGATCAGGTGTTTGTCAAGTTTCCCTGATACATTGAGCAAACGCTAAGATGGTCCCTTGTTTTGCTTCCTGGTCGTAAATGTAGCTTCACTATGCGCAAGTTTTGTTGTACTCTCCTTTTGCTTGTAGTGGTTGGAGTAGAGGTAAGGGCGAGATACGATTTTATTAGCAATGCAGAAAAGTCATATCTACAGTTCGTTTACCGTTGCAAATAAGTTTTCTATAACTCGAGAACGAAAATGTCTAGTTTTTTAAATGTTGCTTATCTCACGTTTTTTAAATTTTATTTTGGTTTACTCATCTCTCAACTATTCAAAGTTAAAAAGATGGGAAGGGATTCTGGAATTCAAGAAAACGTGTGTAGATCATCTTCCCCCTACGTCACATACATTTTTTTCTGTTTTTTGACTAAAATCTTAAAGCGGCAGACTATCATTGGTCATGGACACAAGTCTGCCGATTGCCCAATTTGTATTCAGAGCAGGTCGCTCTACCTTACAAACGTACTGACCATCGCAACGTAGGCTATCGCAAACGTACTGAATTAAATTGAAAGTTTGGTAGATAAACCTAAAGGAAGAATTATGCAATCTCTGTGGATTTTACTGAAGCCTTTGATCTCAAGGGATGAAAGCTGGTAAAGAAATTAGAAAGATATTTAGGGGAAGGAGAATGTCTTCTTCCTGTAACAAAATACATTCTCCTCCTTAACTACATTGCTAGAGGCGATAATGCTGCAAAATCAAAAGAAATCACAGTATAATGGCTTCCTAAAAGGAAACTGAGTCCATTACTCTTCAATATTGCATTTATAAATGTCTGGTGCAGCATTATTGAAGATTAAGATTGAGTGTCCCTCTTTTTTAACTCCCCCTCCCCCGGAAGCCCTGATGCGGCATTCGTTTAATGACATGTAGGGGTTACATGCGCCGCAGCTCTTCGGCTTTTGCGGCAAAGAAGGGGGCAGTGCTTAATAATTAATTTCCCGGCTAACATAACCTATGGAAGAAGCCATCTCTTTGGCCGGCAACGTAAGATTCATTTGCATGCTTATTGTATTTCCTTTTCAAGTTTCCTTTCTACAGTCTTCATGCTTTTGTTTTTCTCATTCACTCATACATTCGTACTAAGGTCCATTTAGAGTTATTTACGTAGCTGATACACGCACTTTCACACTCCCCTATATACCCCATGCCACGGCGCCGACTTTGCCCAAAGCGCTTCGCCTGCGTTCGCCTGAGCCTCACCCGCCGTGCGGCCGGCCGCGGAGGCCACTGGGGTAAGGGCCCTGCGGACCCCACAGACCACCGGCCGGCGCGTTTCGCGCAGGCGCCGGGCGTGGCCTCCGGCGGGTCTCCTCTGGCAGCTGACGGCTTTCGCCCCTCAGAGGTCACAGTGCTTCTACGGGGGCGATTGGGAGGAGGGGAGGAAGAGGCGATGCCGCTCGGTTCTCAGCCTCCCAAATGGGGCGCGAGGTAGAGATGCAGCGTCTGCAGGCGGCGAAGAGGAGTCGCTTCTGCGGGAGAAGCGGGTCCGGGGACGAAGAGGGAGGTCCTTGAAAGTATTTTGTTGGCAAAGGTCCTTGGCGCACTTGTGCCAATACAGGCCACGATCAAGAGTCAAGCCAAGGTATTTAGGGGAGCAGGGGAGATTATCGACACGTTTTCCTTGGGGCCTGCCCTCTGACGGGTGAAGCTGGCAGCCACGCATTTTGGCAGGTTTAGGGGGAGGCGTTTCTGGCGGAGCCAGGTGGGAAAGGCGGCGAGGCATTCGTTCACACATCTCACTGCTTGCCTGCTGTTCGCCCGTTTCGCGTAATACGCAAAGTCGTCCGCGATCATCAGGAGCTCTCTATATTCCGGAGGCGGAGGAGCCTTGGGGCGTCCGCGTTGGGTGGTTTACTCCTGGTTGCCGTCCCAGCGCTTTGGATACGCCCAATAGGCGTTTATCGTAGAAATTGCACTCTTCTATTGTACTTTTCCACCGAGTGTTTCTCTCGTCTCTCGGAGACACACGGAATTCTCGGCTCAGTGCTCTAGCCCGCTCCCCGTCGGTGAGGAAGCTTTACTGCTCTGCGGAGCGCTTGCAGCGTTCGTCTTTGCGACGAGAATCCGGCTTCACTTTCGTGACCTTTTTGTATACGGACATAACCGTGTCAGTGAACAAGTTCACCTAGATTCTATATCCACGTTGGTCTCTAGCTGTCCCTGCTCAAGCAAAAAGCTCACTTGATCTTAATAACCGATCCAGTCATTGTCGCGGGTTGTTTTCACGTTTTGTTGGCGTGCTGCGACAATAAATGTTACCACAAAAATTACCGGATTGTAATCGGAACCAGTTCGGGAACTGACGACGCTACATCGCCATCGACTCCCTTAACGATAGCAAAATCGATAATACCCGGTCGCATTCCGCGCTGCGCTGTCGGGAAATATATGGGACGTTTCGGTGCACATATACGCCCCATATCGTTGCTGCTAGAGTGGTTAGATTGGCGCCGACCCTGTTGAAACCTAAGCATCAGCGTGACTGGTGTCTTGCATTGAAATCACCAAGTAGCAGAACCTTGGAATCGAGCGCGAGGATAGCTTTGATTTCGCACACGTAAAAAGTTGGATCTGGGCAGTAGGCAGACACGACAACGAGTCAGCTGTTTCCTACGCTGATTGGGGTACATAATAATCTACGGAATTAAAACAAAATGGCCACATTTGAAGGGAAAAATGATCTGAAAATCATCAACTCAATCAATGCCACATATCTGAAAAATGCAGTGTGTGTCTCAAAGTACATTTCTAGATTAATATATGTCCTAACAAAAGAATTTTTTCTGATAAAATGTATAAGGTTTTATTTCCTTCTACCAAACACTGAGACACAAGGGTGAAATGTCGGAGAGAATACATTAGAGGGACTTCATAGAGAACGAATTTTCTACGCGTCGTATCCCATGGCACTCAGCAACTACAGCGCGCCCGATTAAGAATGAAGTACAGGTACTTATGGGCTATTCCGGTAAATAAACATTCCCCCGTTTTTAAGATTTCAAAACTGTTTTAAATACTCATTAACATAATTTTTCATAACAACAATTACTTTAGCAAATTAATACATCGAATACATTATATATTTACCGCAAATCCTGGTGAATATCTTTAGAAATAATTATTTTTTGAAAGAAGGGATACGTTCGGCTGTTGAATCAGCCACAGCTGCGGTGCCACGTGCTTCGTTTGCCGTATCATACTGTGATCAGAAAGTTCACGTTCCGTTTGAGTGTGAAAATTTTTGTTCAAAATACCATATAACGTCTTGCCAAAAATTAGACAAAACACTGACGGAATTTAGTAATAATAAGCGTGTGGAGCGAGGCCAAAAAAGAGCTACGTAACTTACATTCAACTATCTAATGCCCTATTGCGTGCCCTTTTGTCATTATTTAGTTGAAGTCGTAAAGAAGTTGTTGATTCGATGCCAGTGTTCCCCTCTCCTGTTAGTCTTTGAAAGAACCTCCTGTTTTATTCGGAGTATAGTTACCGAAGAATAGCAATTTTAACCTAACATGAGCGATAATGGGCACTCGCAGCTAAAAGACACAACCAAGGAAAATCTTTATACATTTTTTAATCTCTAATTTGTAATATTTTAGTATCCCTGCGCAGGATTTCTTCGCTCATACGGAAAAAGGGGTTTGGTGACAACACAACAAGAACAAATTCTTGTCATTGCTCCATCAGCTGAAAGGTGTTTCCAAAATTCATAGAACTAAATCGCTGTTAGGAAACAGTTCGAAGAGGTCTAAAATCTCAAAATGCGTAAATTAATCATCACTGCCGAACTCGCACGGAAAGACACTTGCGAACATGAAAACGGTACAATCTCACGTGAAAGAATTCTCTCGAATTCCCTTCGCAATTAAAAACCAACAACTGCCCAAGCACAATACAGTAGAAATTTATTTCTCAAAAACTACTGCCCACATTTAAGATAATTTTAACATTAGAATTAAGTAGATAATATAACATTTACGTTTCGTTCCAACAGGGTCGTAAATAAGTATATTGGACTCAATTTAGTACGTTGGACGTTCTAGTGGAAATCCAAAAATGTCCTCAGAGAAATAATGCGACTGGAACAGTAACTGTCAGCATTTTAGAACTCCAGACTATGACGTAAACAAGTTAAAATTTTGACAAAGGCCCTGAAATGCTTCCCTTTGTGGAGACAGGAGACACATGATGATTCGCATGCAATATTGCCGGGCCGCCTCGACGCGAGCGTAGGATTAT